GTCTCGATCTCTTGACCTCGTGATCCACCCGCCTCGGCCTCCCAAAGTGCTGGGATTACAGGCTTGAGCCACCGCGCCCGGCCTGATAATTTTTTTTTTCTTTTGAGATGGAGTCTCGTTCTTCACCCAGGCCAGAGTGCAGTGGTATGATCTTGGCTCGCTGCAACCTCTGCCTCCTGGGTTCAAGCGATTTCCAGCTAATTTTTGTGTTTTTAGTAGAGACGAGGTTTCACCATGTTGGCCGGGCTGGTCTCAAACTCCAGACCTCAAGTGATCCACCCACCTCAGCCTCCCAAAGTGCTAGGATTATAGGTGTGAGCCACCATGCCTGGCCCCCTGGCTAATTTTTAAATATTCTGTAGAGATGGGGTCTATAGAGAACCCTACAGAGGAAGACAGGAAAGGCCGGGAAAGGGCTTATGGAGACGAGCTTCCTCCCTGAGGCCCTGGGATTACATGTGTGAGCCACTGCGCCTGGCTGCAGTGTGTGTGTTACCCAGGCTGGTCTTGAACTCCTGGCCTCAAGCAATCCTCCTGCCTCATAAAGTGCTGGGATTACAGGCAAAAGACACTGTGTCCAGCCCTTAATAATCTTATATCAAGGGGCTCTGCATTTTCCTTTTGTAATGGGTCTGGGGAATTATATGGGCTCTGCTGCTTTTATGGTATTCACCATAAGCATTTATCCAGCGCCAAGTGAATGTGAATCAGGACCGGGACCAGTAGTAAATGTCCTTGGGCTCTGGAGGTGTGGCCGCATCTCCGAGGCCTCCCAGCCAGAACGAGGAATGGCACCCGGGCCCCTGGTAACAGCTGTACATAGTGTCTCCCCTGTTTTCTTGTTTGTTTTTTGTTTGTTTGTTTTGAGACAGAGTCTCGCTCTGTTGCCCAGGCTGGAGTGCAGTGGCGTGATCTCGGCTCACTCCAACCTCCTCCTCCTGGGTTCAAGTGATTCTCCTGCCTGAGCCTCCCGAGTAGCTGGGATTATAGGTGCCTGCCACCACACTCAGCTAATTTTTTTTTTTTTTTTT